GCCACATCACCTGAGGCTCATTTCGCCCTTGTGAATCTTAATATCCCGGGGTCTCCTTCTCAGGACAAGGGGATTCTTGGGCCCCATTTCTCTGGGCCCACAGCCAAGTGGGTCCCAGGGATCCTTACCTCTGCCGGACCGTGGAACCCGCCGCCCGGGCGGCCACTGCTTTACTGGGAGAGCGTCCTGAGGAGCCCACGTTAGTGCCACTGGGGGTCGGACCAGGCTGTAGAGAGAGACAAGGAGACAAGGAGAAGTGAGCGCTGCCCGCTGGCCCCCAGACCCCAGGTCCTGACAGAGGAGACCAGCACCTGCACAGGAGAATGAGAAAAGCAAGGGAGCCACAAAAGGAGGGCAAGGCATAAGGTAGAAGTCGGGGCGCCTGGGAGAGGCGGGGACTAAGGAGGACAGCTAGGGTCACCATACCATGCTGGAAACTGGAGGGTGACAGGGGGCTGAAGCAGATGGTCGAAAAGCGGTGGAGCCTCCAAATGTCTGGCAGCTGGAGAAACTGGCTCAGGCCCCGCCCCCAGACCTGCTGGCAGGGTCCTCGCTGATTCCCAGGACGCCTGGGTTGTCCCACTACATGCCTGTAGAAATTTTGCTGCAGGCGGCTTGGTCAGCTGCTACGTGAGAAGTACAAACCTTCCTTCTCCTGACTGTGAATCACAGCTTACTTCATAGCGTCCATCCCTACCAAAGGAAGTATATAGCCATACTCAGACAAGAAATTTTTCTACGGCAGTTACTACGCGCCCACAGATTAGCGCTGATGTGGCCTAACTGACGCACGCGCCGCGGGGCGTGCCCAGCCCCGCAGTGGCCCGCTGGGAGCCGGTGGGAGGAGCATGCGTGCTTGTCCATAACGGTGCGGGGCGCCGGCGCGACTTCCGGGCCATGGCGGAGAAGGTGGCTCAGGCCGAGGAGACGGGTCCCAACCCGTCGGTGCTGTTCCTGCACCCAGACCTGGGCGTGGGGGGCGCCGAGCGGCTGGTGCTGGACGCAGCGCTGGCACTGCAGGCGCGCGGGTGTAGCGTGAAGATCTGGACGGCGCACTACGACCCAAGCCACGCCTTCGCTGAAAGCCGCGAACTGCCGGTCCACTGCGCTGGCGACTGGCTGCCCCGCAGCCTGGGCTGGGGCGGCCGCGGCGCCGCTGTCTGTGCCTACGTGCGCATGATCTTCCTGGCGCTGTACGTGCTCTTCCTCGGCGACGAAGAGTTCGACGTGGTCGTATGCGACCAGGTGAGGCGACTTCGCCGGGCCCTCGCCCCGCCTCTTTTTCTTACTGTGAAAGGCATACTGCTTGATCTATGATGTCCCCCCTCCCAGCCTGCGGTTCGGAAAGATTGGAACTGATCTGGAGACATCAGAGTTGGGAGTGACTGCAGTTCTCGAACTATAGTGTGGACACATTAAAATTACACATTACAGGGCCCCGCCCTCAGAAGTTTCATCCAGGAACCCTGAGGTGGGGCCCCCAAATCTGCATGTTCAAGCTGGCTCGTGTGATTCTGAAGCAGATGGGCCTTGGGGCTCGCTCTGGAAACACAAGCATTAGAGAAGTCAGCCATGGTCACCTCTTATAAGTAATTCTTGTATCTTCCCTCTTTGCATTATTTCTGTTGACACTACTTCTAGTCCATGTGCATCCCACCATATAGCCTTTGCAGCCAGCCACCCTGCTGCTCAGCAGTGTCATGTTAAAACACCAAGCTAAACATATCATGTCCCTATTAAAACATTTAACATGGCTCCCCATTAGTCTTTGTAGGAAAGTCCAGATTCTTTCTCTTGGTAAAGAATGCCGACCTGGATCTGGGCTCTAGCTATTCTAGACTCCTTATGTCTACCAGTCACTTCAGTGGTTCTCAACCTGTGGGTCGCGACCCGTTTGGGGGTCAACGACCCTTTCACAGGGGTCGCCTAAGACCTCGGAAAACAAAAAGATATTTACATTACGATTCATAACAGTAGCAAAATTACGGTTATAGAGGAGCAAAGAAAAAAAATTTATGGTTGGAGGTCACCACAACATGAGGAACTGTATTAAGGGGTCGCGGCATTAGGAAGGTTGAGAACCGCTGCTTTATCTGTTGTTGATTTTTGCTTTGACTAGGTGTCTGCCTGTATCCCAGTGTTCAAGCTGGCCAGACGGCGTAAGAAGATTCTGTTTTATTGTCACTTCCCAGATCTGCTTCTCACCAGGAGAGATTCTTTTCTTAAACGCCTATACAGGGCACCGATTGACTGGTTGGAGGAATACACCACAGGCATGGCAGACTGCATCTTGGTCAACAGCCGGTTCACAGCTGCCGTTTTTAAGAAAACATTCAGGTCCCTGTCTCACATAGAACCCGATGTCCTCTACCCATCTCTGAATGTCACCAGCTTTGACTCAGCTGTCCCTGAAAAGCTTGATGACCTAGTCCCCAAGGGAAAAAAATTCCTGTTCCTCTCCATCAACAGATATGAAAGGAAGAAAAATCTGACTTTGGCACTGGAAGCCCTAGTAAAGCTACGTGGAAGATTGACATCCCAAGATTGGGACAAGGTTCATCTGATCATGGCAGGTGGTTATGACGAGAGAGTCCAGGAGAATGTGGAACACTATCAGGAATTAAAGAAAATGGCCCAGCAGTCTGACCTTGACCAGTCTGTGACTTTCCTGCGGTCTTTCACAGACAAACAGAAAATCTCACTCCTCCACGGCTGCACATGTGTGATTTACACACCAAGCAATGAGCACTTTGGCATCGTCCCTTTGGAGGCCATGTATATGCACTGCCCAGTCATTGCTGTTAATTCAGGTGGGCCCTTGGAGTCCATTGTCCACAACGTCACAGGATTTCTTTGTGAGCCTGACCCCATGCATTTCTCAGAAGCAATAGAAAAATTCATCCATGAACCTTCCTTAAAAGCCACAATGGGACTGGCTGGCAGAGCCAGGGTGAAGGAAAAGTTTTCCTCTGAAGCATTTACAGAACGGCTCTACCAATATGTCACCAAACTGCTGGTATAATCAAATGATTTTTTTAAGGTCTTTATGCTACATTCATTAATATCATATTTAGAGATTGAAGACCCAGTTTTGAAACCATAAAAGAAACCTAGAATCTAGTATAGAAAAGTTTTTCAAAACATATACTTGAATCTTGACTTTGAGCCACCTTCCTATACACCACACTTTCCTGTCTACTTTTTCAGAAAAACTATATCTTTTATGCTATAATAATTGAGTCTTATCAGTGTTAAGGTATAAATATGACAGGGCTGGCTGAATGGCTCAGTTAAGAGTTGGCTTAAGAGCACGAGCTCTGAGCAACAGGGCTGCCGGTTCAATTCCCACATGGGCCAGTGATGCTGCGCCAGAGCTGAGCATCGCTGAGCTGCCAGCAGGTGGCAGTTTTACTCAGCTGGTGTAATAAGATTGACTGTTCAATGGTGGGCTACGCCCACCCACAACTAAGACTGAACTTGGCACCTTGAGCTGAGCTGCTGCCCAGATGGCTCAGTAGATAGAGCATGCACTCTTAACAAGGCTGCTGGTTCAACTTTTGCATGGGATGGTGGCTACGCCCACCTGCAACTAAGACTGAACACAGCACCTTGAGCTTAGAGGCCACAAGGCACTGACGGGAAGCCAGATGGCGACTGGCGCCCTCCACAACGAAGACTGAAGAACAACAACTTGGCTGGTCCCCTTCCCCAGTTCCCCAACACTGTTCCCCTCCCCCAATTCCCCAATAAAAAAATTTTTTTTAAAGATATAAATATGGCATGATTCCATATTCAACAGAATACTTTAAATATATTTTCTCCAAATAATTGCTGCTCTGCCTATAAATTTTGAGTCATAGTGTGCCTGCCTTGGTTTTGATGGTTGAAGTGTACCATCATCACAGTTGATTAATTTGGCTTCGAGCATAATGAGAACAGGTCACTACTTCCCAGAATCACTCTGCCTAAGTGTTCACTGTCCTCTTTAGGGAAATTTTTGTTCACCATATCTGCTTGGACCAAAGCAAGAATGCTCTGTACTTTTTTACAGATGATTTATTGTATTTCTTTTGCACACTGAGACATGACAATAAAACATGGTTATCATAGGAAGAGACAATAAAATACAAAATTTGGGCGTCTGTGATCTGTATGTAGATATGACAGCCAAGCCTGAAGTCAGAAACTGGAGTAAACTGGATAATGAAGTGAAGAGGGACTGTTGTCACGCATGTGGTGTGCATCTTGTTCAGGGTTTACTTCCTAATATACGATTTGTCAGCTTTGTGAGTATTTGTGTTGTATTAGGTAAGCTCCTACTAAACATAAGACACAACTGTATTTTACCCCTCAGGGCCTGCCTCCCGCCCCTGCTGTGCAGCCGTGACCACTCATCCCCGAAGTGGAAGTGACCTTCCCTTCCTTGGAATCTACCCCTTTCATGGCACTGACCAGTCTTACAGTTCATTATTGATCAGTTGGTCTAAGTACAAATAAAGCACTTTCCAATACACCTTTAAAGCTAAATTCATTTTTAAAAAATAGCCAAGATCCCGAGCCAAAGGCTCCACATTAATCCATTCTAAGAGCACAGACCTGAGAGCCTCGCAGCCCCGGTAACCTTGGGCAAAATTCTTCATCTCTGTGCCTCAGCTTCTTCATCTGTAAAGTGGGATCACTGCACTATTCTGCTTTCCTCATAGGGCGGTTATGACAATATATGTAAAGTACTTCAAACTACTTATAGCACATAGTATAGGCTCTCATATAAATGTTAGCTAGTTTGCAATTTGGGGATATGGAAAATTATTGTAGAAGTTCCATGAGTTCATGCTGCGCTACTGTATTCTTTTGGGGTTCTTTAGAGAATGACATTTCAGGTTGCAGTATACTATGTTACCCTGAAAATAAGACCTAACTGGAAAATAAGCCCTAGCATGATTTTTCAGGGTGGTTGTAATATAAGTCCTACCCCAAAAATAAGCCCCAGTTAAGATTGTCAGCCAGATGGACGCATTTAGTATGTCCACTGCAACACATGATGGACGTATGGAATTATAAAATAACATAATTAAATATAAATAAATAATGTTATTGACATTAATACTTAAATGATAATATAAATCATACTTATTTGTAAATACCCAAGTGGGCACCTTTGAACGAGAGCTAAACGCCTATGTAAACAGATGAACTCAAGACTTATTGCCAAATGACCAATCGGAGTACAGACAACGCACGAATAACATGCACACTTGATAACAAACGGACATGGTTGTGTCTAATATGAATCTTTATAATTCAATACATCATGTGTTGTAACGGGTGTATAACACTTAATGCACTTGTGTGAAGTAAAGAAACGTTTTCTGAATTGTGGTGCCTGCAATTTTGGTCGTGACTTGGGTGAAGAATTCATGGGATAAAATCACTGACAGCTGTGTTGCCAATGCACTACGAGCAGGCTACATGGACAAGAAGTGCTCATTTAAGGAGAGCTCTATTGCTGCAGGACATGAGAGATTGGGGCCAATGGTTCTACAGGAAATGGAGTCGCAAGAAATTCAGGCCAGAATTCGGGGTTTGGAGAATTATGACAATGTTCCAGAAGAAGATGACATGACTGTATTTGAATAAATGTAGATTTTTGTACATGAATAAATGTAGGTTGTTGTACATGAAAAAATAAGACATCCCTGAAAATAAACCCTAATGTATCTTGAAGCAAAAATTAATATTAGACCTGGTCCTATATTAATATGTTACATATAAGACCCAGCTCCTGGTCCTAGGATGTAACTAGCCCCTACAAGGTTTCCACAGCTTTCAAAACTAAACTGAGGTTAGGGAAAATAGAAGCCTAGAACACTGAAGTGAATTGTCTGGGACTTTATCAGTAATAAGCCTAACACTGTGTGCTGGGCCTGACGGGAGATGCACAGCAGACAACTCATTGACTCCTCACAGTTCCATGAGAGTAGGCACACTTCCCTTTATAGATGAGCGTGATTAAGCAACTTGCCTCTCACACAGCCGTGAGGGATGTGCAGTCTCAAGGCTCTCTGGTTTCAAAGTCCAGCCACTTTCCCTTCAGTCTGCCTTCGCCCTCACCAAACTCCTGTGTGGCGTTTCATCAGCGAGACTCCCTCTGCAGCGCCCCCATTCAGGTCCTCAGGTTTAGAAAGGCCTTGCTCTCCACTTTGCCTTTTGATCTTCAGAGCAGTATTGTGAGGTGGGTATGATTCTCCCCCACTTTATACACAAGCTCAGAGCGATGAGATGCTTGCCCAAGGGCACACAACTGAAAAGTGACCGAGCCAGGATTCAACCCATGGTTACCTAAGCCATCCAGGGCTGTATGTGCCAGCATTCCTCAGCCTGCACCCCTTAGATAAGCATAAATACTGCATGTCCTTCAACACTATGAAATTCAAAATAAATACAGATTTCTGAGTCATAGCAAAGTGAGGGGACAAGACATTTCTGTCTTCACATTAGTCCTCTGACCCTAAAGGATGCTGATGTCCCTCACCCACCCCACTGCCGTATCCCAACCCCTGTGAGAATCACTGCGAGGCCATGCTGCCTGCCCTCCCTGTAGCGGACATTGGGTCATTTCAAGTCCTAGTGGAGTTATCAGGGTCATTTACCTGCACAAAGCAGAAATTCAAGCTAGCTTAAGTTCAAAGGTGTTGAGTTGGGTGTATGAGTCTAAGCCAGAAAGGCAGTCACACTCCACCAGGGAAAAGGGAACTGGAGAAGAAAGCTTCCTTGATGTGGTCTCTCGAGGAGTCCCCTGTTTTCCTGGGTCTGCTTGCTCACCTGTGCACATGCGTGCAACCGCTGACCCTTCATTGCCTCATGGATGCAGAGATCTGCACCAGTTAGCTGAATACACACACACACACACACACACACACACACACACACACACACACACACACACACACACACCACAAAGAGGAGCAGTGTTTTATTTCTTCCTGTTTGGAAGTGATCCAGTGACTAATGACTAGCGAACCCCTGTTCAGACAGCCTCTAGCGTTTGTGAAGCTCTTTTTGGGTTGTCTCATTTGCTCTTCACAGCATCCTTCCAGAGAATTATTATAGTCCTTTTCTACAGTAGAAAAGCTGAGGCTTACAGCTCGGAGGCAGTGGAGCGGTAATGAAACCCAGGTCTGTCTGACTCCAGGTCAACAGTGCTACAGGTGCCTCTTCAGTCCACGCCTCACCCTGTAGACCTGACCAGGACACCACTTCCACTCCCACTGCCTTGTTCTGCCTTTTCTCCTTCCAAAAGGAAAATGGACCTGAACACTATACTGCTCTCTGCTCTCCCCGATCTCTGTCCATGACAGTCAGTCCTTTTCTGTCCACCTCTGCCAGTATCACTAACTGTTCTGTGACTTCCTTTCATTACATTTCCAACCCCCAGAATCGAACCACTCAGAGCTGAGTGAAACCCCAGAGGTCACCCAAACTTATTTGCTCTTACACAGATGGGAAAACAGAGTCCCAGAAAGAGAAAGGAACCTGAATGAGGCACACAGAGGGAGAGTCACAGCCCTCCTCTACCTCTTTCGGAAACCCTTTAGACCATCTCCACTTTTATCAAAACCCCTTATCTCCTGCTACTTCCGTTGAACTCCTTACTCCTTCATCCCTAACCTCAGGGCCCTGCAACTCTGTCCCAACAGCCTGTGAGGGTGCCACCATCCAGACACCAGTGCCCTCATGCCTGCTACCTGAGTGGGGAGGGGAGCTTTCCCAATGACAGACCCAATTTCCAGCCTGTCCCTTGGGAGGGGGCAGTTACCATGCTGATTCCTGAGCCAAGGGGCTGCTGGAGCCAGCACACTATTCTTATCAAGAGGACTGAGGATTTGGTGGGGCTTACATCAGGGTGACCTGGCCTTGTGACCCAGAAATATGACCACAAGCAAATGCTGAAATATCTTGCAGGAAACCCTATCACTAGGCAAGCCAGTAACGTCATTTGAGACAAATATGGTCTAGAAGAGTCTCTCAGTGTGTGTGTGTGTGTGTGTGTGCTGCTGTGGGGGGCACAAGTGTAGCACAGGTGTGACTTACCTTTGTGGTTTGCCACACTCCCAAGAAGTTGCCAGGCAGAATTAGAACAGTCTGCTAAAATAATGGCCTTTGCATTTCTGTGTTACTTAACCTAGAATTCCAAATATTGAGAAAGTGTCCTGAAACCTAAAGTCTAGATTTCCTTCTCTATTAAATGGGTATAATCAGATCTCAGTAGCCCACCCCACAAGGTGTTTGTGAAGAATGGACAAATAAAAGAGTACATGAGAGGCACTGAATCAGTATATGAGCAA